CTCGCTTATTTTCTGGATGGCGGGCTCTAAGGAAGATCCATGTCCGTGTACCAGCCAATGGTTCATCTCTTCCTCGTCAAAGTCTGGCATATGTACATGCTAGTACACAGTACTTAAAACAAGTCTCTGGTCTCCTTAAAACTGGTGTCACAAGTTTACGTAATAATTCAACGTCTTATGATGTTGTACAAGGTATGTGATTATTATTAACTGCTTGCCTATTCGGGCAGAATAAACTTAATGTAGCATCATGGTTTTTGATGAAATATGCCATATATATGTATGTATGGAAGTATGTGTAGGAGAAGTTAGAAAGAAATTGTCTCTCCATGTTTCCCACTTCACTACTCTCTGCTTTTGTACAATAACTTTTATAAATATGGATTGATCCGTTTGGTTCTGTCTTTCAGAAACATACTCGTGTAAAATAAGATTGAAAAGCTTAGCTGAAGATGATGCCATTATGATGCAACCCGGGTCTGGTGAAAGCCATGTTTTGTATGTTCTTATGTTCCGAACTCCTCTTTCCACTCTCCCAAATCCACTTGGGGCAACTTTCCAAATCTGTGATATCTGACAAAAGTGTATGAAATTTCAACAGCTTTCCTGATAGTCATGGAGATGATCTGATTGTTGAGATCCTTGATCCGACCGGGAAGGATTTTGGGCGTGTGCTTGTCCAACTAGCAAATATTTCTGAAGATTCGGTATGTCCTATTTACTTGCCTCTTTAATTTGTTAATATGTTTCAAATGCCTTCTAATAAAGAAAGCATACAGGCTGAGAAACTTCGCTGGTGGTCTGTTTTTCGTGAGCCAGAACATCAACTTGTGGGAAAACTCCAGCTCTATATTGACTATTCAGCAAGTTTTGATGATAACAGCCATTTGAAGGTGGGGTAACAACCTAGCACTCATAATATTTGGTTCTGTTGGTGATTTCTTCGCAGTATACTAAGAGACACTCGAGCTGTCTATTTCCTTGAGGAACTATAAAGCTTTATCTCGTACAACATTAGCCTCTTCTCTTGTTCATAGTACTAAGCTGTTTTAATCAGAAAATATTGTCATACTATAGTTGCTGACTTTAGACTTGTTAAGGTGTTATTAGCAATTTTATTAAAGATGGGATCTTTATGGCTATCTAATTGCTCATTTACGTATGTTTAGCTCCTCATTCATTTTTAAGTCCATTGCTTGAAACCTTGCTCGAAACTTTTCGAAGCTATATCTTCTACTCTGAAGATTATGTCTCTGATCACAGATATAACTCATTGTATTCTGTTCATCTGATTTTGGTGTATTGATTTTCTTTTTCATCTACCTTTAGTGTGGTTCTGTTGCGGAAACAGTCGCATATGACCTAGTCCTGGAAGTGGCCTTAAAAATGCAGCGGTTTCAGCAAAGAAACTTGTTGTTATATGGTTCATGGAAATGGCTATTGGAAGAATTTGCCACCTACTATGGGATTTCAGATGTCTACACCAAGCTTAGGTATACCATACTCACTTTTTCTTAAATCTTATTATTTGAGATATGCTATAACTCCGTTTTCTCTATCTTGCTTATTTTGTTGCTTTTAGATACTTGTCCTATGTAATGGATGTAGCTACACCGACTTCCGACTGTCTCCATTTGGTACATGACTTGTTAACACCTGTCATCATGAAGGGAAATGGCAAGAGCGCCTTGAGTCATCAAGAGGTACATATGCAGTAATCTATTACTACTTTTCTGTGCTTTTTTTTTTTTTTGGTTTTTGTTTATTGTGTGTGGGTTTTGGAGTTATGTGTTTTTTGCCTCAAGTTAAGCTTTGGACTTAGACTTCTCGCAGTTGCCAACATGACATATTTAAGCATCAAACAATATCTCATATCATCATCACGTTAATCCTGTTTTGCTGTTGATCTTTTCTTCTTGTGGAAGCATAATATTACTTTCTGCTTATGACTGCTTATGGATCTCTATTTTTTATATCTGCTTTCAACAGAATCGGATCCTGAATGAAATTAAGGACCAGATCGAGCAGATACTGAAACTGGTCTTCGAGAACTACAAATCTCTTGATGAGTCGTCATTTTCTGGAATGATTGATGTGGTCAGTTCTGCGTCAGGAGTTCCAGCGCCAGCGCTCACTCCTGCTGTGAAATTGTACACACTTCTGCATGATATCTTGTCTCCGGAGGATCAGACTAATCTTTGTCATTACTTCCAGGTATAGCATATAACCTCTCAGTTGCCTTATCTTACTCTTGATCAGTCATTTTTCTCATTTATCTGGCATCAATTCATTTATAGGCAGCAGCAAAGAAGAGATCTAGAAGGCACTTGGGTGAGACAGATGAGTTTGTTGCAAACAACAGTGAGCTCAATTTTTTGGACACTTCTGCAATGTCGGCTGCTTACCAAAAAATGACTATGGTCTGCAAGAATGTAAAGAATGAGATCTATACTGATATTGAGATCCAAAATGAAGATATACTTCCCAGGTTAGTATGCAAGTGGAAAAAAGTTACGTTTGTCTCCGCAGTTGTTCCAGATAATTTATACGAAAAATAACTGAACTAACCCCAGTCAACTGTAGTGGTTACTGTTAGTTGGTTATATGTTGGTCACAAGCTCTAGCGTTTCAGACAGTGGTAATAATTTCAACTTACAGTAGATAGACTTGTGTATTTATTAGCTAGTGGTCAAATTTTTTTGAGATTTGGTAGAATCTTCTTTTCCTTCCCTTAGCTTCTCTTTCAATCTATGGTTATACCTAGATTAGCATCACCCGTAATATTGCTTTCATGTGTTATCAGCTATCTTTGAACCTCAGTTGTGTCATTATGTTATCATTTTTTTTGTAATTGAGATGTTTAGATGTGTATATTGCACTAAAAGCTCTTGTAAAATCTTCCTGCAGCTGTTGATTGCCCATGTGTTTGTTATATATTTGTATGCAGTTTTCTTGACCTTCCAAACCTGTCAGCGTCTATATATAGCACAGATCTCTGCAATAGACTTCGAGCATTTCTTGTTGCATGTCCGCCCTCTGGCCCTTCACCAACAGTTGCAGAACTTGTGATTGCAACCGCAGACTTTCAACGTGATCTTTCCAACTGGAACATTAGGTAGGTTGTTTAGATTATCTGACTTGTTGATTGTCTGTTATTTTTGACTGGCATCGTATTTCAATTTACAGTCCTATCCAAGGAGGTGTTGATGCAAAAGAGTTGTTCCATCTATATATCATGATTTGGATTCAAGATAGACGTCTTTCATTACTTGAGTCCTGCAAACTTGATAAGGTGTGTATACTGATATTTTTGTGTGGTTTCCTTCAGATGTGTTTTTTCTTCTTTTTCATATCAAAGCTATGGAGAAGCAAAAGTATTTCTCTTGTCTCTCTCGTTCTTCAAACTAACTTCTTTGTATCGTTAAAAAACTGTCAATCAAGCAGGTAAAATGGTCTGGAGTCAGGACACAACATTCAACAACTCCATTTGTTGATGAAATGTATAAGAGGCTGAACGAAACAATTCAAGACTATCACGTTATCATTTCCAGATGGCCAGAGTATATCTTTGTTCTGGAGAGTGTAAGTTTAGTTGTCCCTTGATGCTTTTTGAATTTGCGATTTTGAAAATATTACATGTATATACCATTGCATGTTATAAGCTTACAACGTAATTGTATGTATGGTGTAAATATGGAATGAAATGGCTGACACTGATTGTGTTTCTTTAGGCCATTGCTGATGTTGAAAAAGCAACTGTGGAAGCTCTGGAGAAGCAGTATGCAGATGTCTTAGCACCTCTAAAAGAAAACTTGGCTCCAAAAAAACTAAGCTTCAAATATGTCCAAAAGCTGACCAAGAGATCTGTGATTGCATATGTAGTCCCGGATGAGGTGAGCATAACGTTCCTACATTTTATTATTCATTAGAAAATATAATTGTTCGCTGAGAAGTTGCTGTATGTGCTTGGTGCAGCTGGGCATTCTATTAAACTCCATGAAGAGGATGCTTGATGTTCTACGGCCTAATATAGAGGCTAAGTTTAAAGCATGGTCGTCATGCATTCCTGATGGTGGGAATGCAGCTCCTGGTGATCGTCTTTCTGAGGTGACAGTGATGCTCAGAGCCAAGTTTCGTAGCTACCTTCAGGCTGTAGTTGAAAAACTTGTAGAAAATGTGAGTTTCCCTTAACTCTTTTATTTCCTAAGCTAATCAAAAATATGTTATCAGCATAAAAAATGAAATGATTTGTAGTACTGCCATTTCTTCTGGAGTGATGTTTCTTGTGTAACGAACGTTTGTCCATGTTTTGTTATCTGATTTAGCATGTTTGGAGGTTTTCCCTTTATTATATATATGCTTGTGTGGTAATCATGTTTTTTGTTTCTTTTCAGAGCAAGCTACAAAAGACAACAATGTTGAAGAAGATTCTTCAAGATTCTAAAGAAAGTGTTGGAGAATCAGACATCAGAAGCAAAATGAATAACCTGAAGGAGCAGCTCACCAACACAGTGAATCATCTACACTCGGTTTGTGAGACGCATGTCTTTATCGCATTGTCACGAGGATATTGGGATCGTATGGGGCAGGTAACTAATTTTAATGCCTTCTCCTGAATTTATGTTTTGTGGTGTTGGAGCGCTAATTCTTCTTCTGTGTGTGACAGATTGTTTTAAGTTTTTTGGAGAACAGGAAAGAGAACAGAGCTTGGTACAAGGGTTCTAGAGTTGCTGTCTCGGTAAGTCCCAATAAAAACAGTAATTATTTTAAATGGTATGAGTCAAGACTTTTACCTGAATTACATGAATGATGCGTATTTTCAGATATTAGACGATACATTTGCAGCACAGATGCAACAGCTGCTTGGCAACTCGTTAAGAGAGCAAGACCTGGAGCCTCCTAGATCGATCATGGAGGTTCGGTCGATTCTTTGCAAGGACACTGCAGATAATAAAGCCAAGTCATTCTACTACTGAGCATCGAACAGCTAAAAAATATTGTTAAGGTTCAGATCTCATTTGCTCGTCTGCTTGAAGCTGCAAGTATTATACTTGGTGGAGCAAATTGTCGAAACCTTGCTTGAGGAAAGCTTTAGATGTATAATAAAGTACAATGGTTACCACATATTTATTTGGTACTAGATGAGTAGATGTCAATATATATATTACCAGACTGGCATCACATCTTATACGAGTCGTGATAAGAGTTAAGTTTAGAGGCAAAGATTGAAAAGTAAGCAAGCATCGTATATGAATACAGCATCATATACTATAGTGATGAACAAACAAAGGTCAGTTATATGACTTGGGATTTTGTTTCTCAAGAGATAGTCTTAAAATAGCATAAACGCAGCAATATAGTAAAAGCAGAACATCACTCCCACCAATAAAGAGGACAAGATAGCGCAGAAAGTAGAAAAGGCGCAGAACATCACTCCACCAATATAAATCAAATTTGGAATTCTTCTTACGGATTATTCAAATGTACATTACTACAAATCAAATTTTCCATAGACAATAACCCGAACTCGTCCACTACTCGAAAACATTAAACATGGCTAGGGTCCATTTTGAATGTAACGACGTGACACGTTAAGCTCTACATGCAACGACGAAACAAATCTTGTAATTGTCCAGGATCAGTTTCGTAATCACACGTATGCCACAAAGCCGACTTATGGCAGCTTTTTTTAATAAGGGAAAAACATATGGCATTTGTTAATAAGGTTTGGTCGAATATGGCACATATCTCCAAAATTATTAAAATCAGACAAGTTAAAAAATTATATCTATATTGTAGTAACCCTAAATTCACAAAGTCTCTCTCAGCCGCAGCTTTCTGACCAAACCATACGCAATACCGAAGAAGACATGTACACCCCCCCGCTGGTTTTTCACAAGTGTAAGATCTCTCTCTCTCTCTATATATATATGTATATAATCGGATCTAATTTATGATTAATTTGTTTAATCGGTGTCCGTTTCGTGTAGCTGGTAAGACATGTGTGTTTTGGGATGTGGAGGATTATCCAATCCCAGATGGCCTCGATGCTGCTTCGATTTACCATAGTATCAAAGGGGCTATCAAGAACTATGGCTGTGATGAGGAGGTGTGCATTCAGGCTTATGTTGGTAATAATACCTTCTCGGATGAATTCCTACGTCAATCTTCGGATGCTGGAGTCATATTCGAAGTCTTTACACGAGGTGAGAAATCCATTACTGATCTCTTTTCTTCTTTTTTTTGATATATGTAATCTAAGATCTCTGTTACTTACCTACTTAGACTTTGTAGGGGGTCAATATGAGAGACATCGTTCCATATATGGTGACGTTATGTTGTGGACTCTGGAAAATCCTACACCATCAAATGTGATTGTAATCGCAAAACTATTCGACGACGACTTGGCTACTAGTATTCGTTTTTTGAGTACGGTCTGGTATTATGGTGTTCTCATATCCCAAGCACCTAAGCCAGAATGGGAATTTCCTCTTGGGAGCGCACCCTCTTTCTTGGCAAGCATATTTGATGGAGGAAACATTAGCGGAAGCTAGCGGATACTCTCTGGCTGTTACCGACGACTAACTCTTTTGCAAATCTATCTGTCCTCAAGGGATGTTCTATATGTTATTATTGTCTTTGTGCTGATATCAAGCTTTTGGTTTAAACATTTTTTTACATTCTCTTGACCATCGCCTTGCACTGACGTTTACTGTGGGTGCATGTGCATGAAACTTGAATACTTGTGCTTGGGACGTACGGAAGAGGTGGAAATCGGTAGAAGATTGAAGAATTAAGCAACCATATATATATATATATATATTGATAAAAAAGCATATATAGCGATGACAAACAGTGGTCATTATATATGGAGACTTTTCTTTGGATTAATAGTACTTTCTGCTAATTTTTATTAGTGCTTTCAATCGAATATGATCCTGAATGAACTTCAGCTGCAGCTGCAGCTGCAGGTCTTCTAGAACTACAAATATTTTGATGAGTCTGTCACTTTTTGTTCAGCTAAACTTACTACACTACTCTCCTATCTTTTGGCCACCAAGATGACGATATTTTTGTAGTTGTACAAGTATATATAATGATTTTTTTTTTTTGCTGTGGTTTTCTTCAAATTGCTAAGGAGAAGCAACAATATTTTCCCTTGTCGCTGAATGAAACCATTTCAAAGATTGAAAAGGAGTAAGGAAGCACCATTTATAACTAACAAAGGCAATGTATATACAGTATATGCTTAATTCAAAGCAACAGTCTAATTAAATAGTGTAATAATAAATACGATCTGGGCGATCGATGAGAAAAGCGTACAAGTTAATATTACTCCCGGCCTATGACAATGCACAAGTTAAACTTACTAGGGGTCGATATCATTTGAAAAAGTGGGTGGGTATTCTTTCATATACCATTCCACTTCTTCAGGGGTAAGGCTCAGGAGGATCGGAGGTTTGTATGGGCGGCCAGTAAGCAATCGTAAGACTGCCGTCACTTGCGACATCATAGTAAGGTACACGGTTAAGACCTTGTGGTGGCTCTTCTTCAACGGCAGTTTCTTGGTTAAAGAGAATATCAGGGTGTTCTGAGGCAACAGTGAAACCTTTATTTTCTAAAGCTTGACGAAATCTGCAGAATTTGAGGTCATGTTCCATGTTCTCCTTTTCTTCTGAGAGTATCAGCAAATTTGCTGGCTCTCCCAAGCTGAATGACCAGATAGCAACGTCCGCAAACATAGTGTTAAACCTGCCAAGTTTATCCCCTGCATGCATGCAAATATAGAGAGATTACGTACGAGAGGGTTTAATTTATATATAATAAGAGATATATATTTAAGTTTAGAGGAAGGAATTGGATTTGATAGTGAGAGAGAGAGAGAGAGAGAGCACCTTCAAAGGGATGGACACGAAATCCGGCGTCCCAAAATTTGGCTTTCAATTCAACAAAGCTTGAATTCTCGGCACCACCGAAAACCCAAATGGTCAGCATCATTCTAATATCAAAACCCTCCTTCTTTATAGCTGCTTCGATTTTCTGCTTGATGCAATCAAGATCGAGACCTTCTCCTTCAGGGATTGTGTAATCCTCAATATCCCATATGACTAACGTTTTACGCACTGTACAATTTACACAGATTTTAAAAAACAAAGATCTCGCCACAAATAAAACTTAGATCAAATCCAGATCAATCCTAGACAAAATATTCTACCAACTATCTTCTTAATATTAAAAGAGAAGTACAAAATTGAAAATCAGAACTTTTTGTCAAAAAATTCCAAATTTACCCTTCAATTTCTATTGATTGAGAACCTTTCTCAAAATTGACAGGGGTAAAATAGTCAAACAAATAAATAGAAACAAAAGTATTCAATGGATCCGCGCGTCTACACCATAAACCCGTCCGAATTACTTTATGGGTCCTCAACTTTGAATCAAGGAAGAAACGTGTGAACAATAATCTGCAGATTGTTGGGCTCAAAATTGTAAACACACAGCCCATTAATAAAACATTTAAATCAATTAAGCAATGATACACTGATTATTCATTGTTGTTAAAAACCAAATCGGCATAATATGATTAATACACGTAATCTTAGATTTTTAGCACTCACAATATTTCTTGGTAATAAAGAAAATCTTCGCAAATCAATAATTTTTGAACACTAATTATATTTCAATAATTTAATCTTATTCAAATTTATATCTTATTCAAATAACAAATACCTTTATTAGTTAAGAGAACAGATAACACACATTAACGGGTTGAATACAGTAACGGATCGAGTACATATAACGAATATTCTATTCAACCTTTACTTCTCCACCCTAAAAAATTATCTTACTACACCAATATAACTAACACAAATACGATAACGGGCGGGTATAGTAACGGGTCGAGTACATATAGGCTATAGCCGATACTCTATTCAACCTTCACTTCTTCACTTAAAAATTGTTTTATTACACCATTATAACTAATATATTTAATGAAAATACCAAACAAATATAATAATTTGGAATGACGAATTAGATAACAAAAACAAATAATAATTAATCACTATTACTCGACATTAAAATTCTAACTGTAGGTGAAACAATATAGTACCAATCACTCGATTTTAAAATCACAAATAGCTTTATTTAGAAAAGAGATCAAATACAATAACAGGTCGTGTACAAATGACATATATTAATATTAAGTTCAACCTTCACTTCTTCCCCTAAAAATTATCTTACTACACCAATATAACTAACACATTTGATGCAAATACAACATTTTTGTTACATTAGAAAAATGAAATAAATTAATTAATCTAAATTAGGTAATTATAAAATTTTAAAAATAAGAAACTAAAATTTATTCTCCATATATCGACCCGCGGTGTACCGCGGGTTTAAACCTAGTATATGTATATGACAGATAGACAGAGATCATATCATAAACAATTGATTTCGAGAAATCTTACGGCGGTCTGTCTTGCTGCTGGTCCAAGGGAACAATCTGCGGTATGTCTCGCAGGTGGTCCGTGGGTACGATTCATTTCTGGGCATGGTTTCGACGTACGGTGTTTTCCACAATATCAGAGACGACGCTAGCGGTGGCTGATGAGAGCCTTTATGAATTTTAGGGCTACAGTAGGTTATAACTTACAACCAAAGCTCTGTCAATTTGTCGGGCTGTCCATGGGCCTAATATAATAAATAATTTTATAACTATTAAACTAATATAATTATTATGTTTAGTATAACAAAAAAATAATAATTTACACAATTAAACTAATATAATTATTATGTTTAGTATTTTTTTTTCTTTTTAAACAATCTAGATCTGTAAATAAAACTCTCAGAACTGTAAACAAATATACTTTGAATATGTTTGGAATTTTGGAAATTATTTGGCTATATATAAGCTTAATAACTTTATAACTATCTTGTAAAATTGAATATAATTTTTAGTAAACTATCATTATCTTATAACAATAAAAGAAAATTATATTTTAAATATATCTTTCTATTTTTTTAATCTCTAAATTTCGAATTTAATTAGTTTTGATTTATTAAATATAAATTTTTTATATTAAATCTGGAAAAGATTTTCCTTCTATATAATTTGTTTGTTTTTTTGTAGCCAAGTCAGTTGGGAGATCGAGGAACATTTCTTCAGAGATGAGCTAGATATCAAACTTCTTAGATTATTAAGAACTTGAAGAAACCCGAGATACATTCTGACTTTGATGCTCCATCTGAACCTCAACTGTCTAAGTGATTGTATCTCTCTATAGAAACACTCAGAAATATTTTGCTTGGTGGAGCAAATTGTCGAAACCCTCAGAAAGCTTTTACATGTAAAATAAAGTACAATGGTTACCACATTTTTCTTTAGTACTGAATGTTTACAAGACTGGCATCACATCTGATATGAGTTGTGATAAGAGTTAACAACACAATAACTGTCAAGTTTACTTAAACACTCTTTACTAAATTTGAATGAACGTGACAGAGTATTAAATTCAAGACTTCAATGAGAATAAATCTTTGGTAAATCTGTTAAGCAATTAAGAACGTTGCAACTTTCATGGCGGTTTCCGGAGTTGAAATTTCATGTCAACGTTGTTTCAAAACTTTATCACAGGCATCCGATTATACTCTAGCATATTAGACTTATTAGCATTCTTAATCGTTTATAGTTTCTTTACAATCTATAAATTATTTCTAAGAGCTTATCACACTTGACTTCAGAAGAAGCTGGCATATCAAATTGAGATCAAACGAATCATTAAGATTGCATTTTGAGGATACAATGGAAAAGGGAGGAGCATATCACAGAAAGAGAGAGAAGAAGCAACAAACTGCATTTGTACAGAGATAAACTGAATGATATATATAACATATATTGCCAAGACAAGGCTGCTGTAACTTATGATAATCATGTAAGATGTGTCTATACTTCAGACAAGCTTTGATATAGCCTGGCACGACATCCAGAAGGCTTTTGATGCGATACTCAGGATCATCGGGTTTTGATATATCCTGTTACCGATAAGAATTAAAAGGGCCATTAGATTAGTGAGACAATCAGAAACATTTAGACACTCAAACTATTAACTGTATCTATTTTGTTCTGGATGTACCCTATTGCAGTTGCGCTCCATGATGCTACGTTGTAAATAACTTTACTTCCCTCCCAGGCTTTTCGAAGCTTCCCTTTTCTCTTCTTCACAGAAAACATCGTGCTAAGTGCTACAATGCCAATTCATATGAAAACTCTTAGTATCTGATAAAAAGTCTTTCATAAGGAGACATGAGAGTCAACATCACTAGCATCCTGTTGGAAAGAGAGCTTAGGGGATTCAACAGATAAGTAGGGTTGTCATGTATTTGGTTGATTAGGGGTCTTGGGGAAAGAAAGAGTTTTGGAGTTCTCATTCTCTACAGCAGGACCCTAGGCTACGACTATCTTTGTTTCCGAGAGAATAGCAAAGTAGAAATAGGTTCTAACTGTAACTGATGGAAGTTCAAGATTTACCTTTCTGAAGCTGATCAGGTGATATATCCTACAAAAAGATAGCACTCAGATTAATATCACATCAAAAGTCAATGAGACATACAAAAATCGAGCAAGCAAGATATGCGCGTTAATGTACCTTAGTCTGCTTAAGGGATGATAAATATGTAGCCATGAAACACGCGATACCGTCTGCTATATCTTCTTCCCTAACAAGGACATAATCATCTTCTGTTTGACCCAAATATTCCTCACCCCATACATCATCTTCACTAACTACGTCCCAAGAGCTACCATCTTCTGCAAATTCAACAAGTTATATTACAAAAGTTATCTCTACAACGAATAACAAATACATTGGCAAAATCACATTGGAGTAAAACAAAGGAACAAACTGAAACTTCTTTCCTTACCAGAAAGGTCTTGAGGAACTGAAACTTGAGCTAATTCTATCCTTTCACGAAAGTCATTACATTCAACTCTAGATTTGATGAGATCATAAAACTGCACAAGCAAACCAATCACAGAATCATGAACCGAGTCACAAGCTTTTAAATTCTAAACTAAGCTAATCCTCCATCACAATTTTAAGAACTAGAGAGAGTAAGGTAATATATAAAGCATACTTTATCGGCTTCAGGATCTCCTGGATCGGAAGAAGACGACTCTTCCCTGTCCAATTCCTCCTCCTCCTCGTGAAGTAGGTCACTCTGTTCGCCGCCGCCGGAAGGACTAGTATCGGTAAGGTCAAGCAGCTCAAGAGCTTTCTGGCAATCCTCGAGCAATTTATGCAACGTCTTCCGCTTGACACGAATACTATCTAAATCGATGCGAGTTCCTTTGTTCTCGGTATCATGGGACAAGCAAGGTACCTCGATTTCCATGGCTGTAGCGGAATCGGAAAGATGTGCTAAAAGAGAAGGAAGACGAATTGATTGATTTGATGATTGTTCTGCTCCACAATTTTTCCCCCTTGGCGACCTATTTGTTTGTTTTATTTCGACCGGAATAAAAGGAAAAGGAAATAAAGAGAGTCGTAAGTAGTAAGACAACAAGCAATTAAATTTGCTCGATATAGAATCTAACTATTGAATCTTAAGCACAAAAAGAAAAAGGTTGCTTTAAATTCCTAAAGACATTTATTTTCAATTATTTTAATTATTTTTATACTTTTTCCTTACAAACAATCATATGGAAAAAGGTATTGATTCTAGTAATTAAAAAAAAATAGCAACAAATCATAATTAACCAGCATTAAACCATAATTAAATTAAAATTTTTAAAGCATGCCGGTTAATTTTCACATATGTCATTATCCCCGACGAGACTAAAAAATTTTACATATGTCAACTAATACAATTTTTCTAAGATCTTTCTGTATATATCTCTTTAATTCTCTCTCGTTCGAAGTTGATTTGCCTTTGATAGTGTATGCGTATCTAATAGGATCTAGTTTAATCGTTGTTAGTTTGGACATATGATAAGACATGTGTGTTTTGGGATGTCAAGGATTACCCAATCACATATGATCTCAATCCTACTTCGATTTATCAGATTATAAAAAAGGCTATCAAAAATTGTGGTTGTCTTCTTTTTTTTTTTTGTCTATAAAACCACGTGGATGTGTTCATTCAGTTTTATGCTGATCATAATACGTTTTCGGATGATTTGCGAAGTCAATTTTGTGATGTTAGATTCGAAATCCAAGTCTTTACCAATTTACCAGAGGTGTAAATCCATTACTCTTATTTTTTTTTTATCTAGAATTTTATTATTGAAACTATAGGAAACTTGAAAATTACATACATAAACCAACGGAAACAAATAAAATCCTATAAAAGAGAAGCTAATAACTGAAAGTACAAGACTATAAACTACAAGACAAGAATCCATTGTAATGTTGATAGTATTTACTTTTTAAGGGGGTAAATATGCGAGATATCGTGCTAACATTGTAATCGTGACATTTTGTTCCGGGCGTTGAAAATCCTTATATTGGCAAATATAACCGAAGACGAATTAGCTACTAGTATGAGATGTTTGCGTACGTGTTATTATGATGTTCTCTTATCCCAAGATAAACAAAACTGTCTTCATGTTAGCGTCGCCTCGTTTTTGACAAACATATTCCATGGAGGAAAGGAATCCTTGGCGCATGAGGAATCACAACGTAAGCTGAAGCTAGCGCCTAGCGGATACTTTAGCTCCTGTTAATCTCAAGCTTTTAGATGTGATGAGAGTTGAAAACGTTTTTTAAAAAGTATATTATTTATCTATATAATATATAATGTTTCGCGCTCGATCAGTTATGAGTACTTGGATACCATTCATCAACTTTCTCGAATGCTTTCTATTTGAGTGGACCATAAATGCATGGATATAAGCTAGGACAAGTAAGCAAGTATCAATATCTATGGATATATAAAACCATAGTGATGTATATTTATATGAATTTAGGATTTCATTTAAAAGCAAATCTTAAAATAGCATACACACACGCAACATTGTTCTATTACTCAGACCAATCATATAAGTTTAGACCAATATTATTGATGATCTCTTAACATATAAGGGCAACACAAAATCTTTTCTTAAGGAAAAAGGATGTAAAATCCCCCTATAATAATGACCTAAGAGCTATTTATTGATATGTTAAGTAATGATAGCCTTGGGGGGAAATGTGAGACTCTTCATTAATTTCCGTCCATGTATGTAGCTTGTCTCCTAGAAAAACCATGTGTGTTTGATAACCCACCGGATTTATTTATTTTCTTTCTATATTTTACTATATAGATTCGAGAGACTTTTGTGATCGATGGTTCAATAATATACTATTCATGTTATCACAAAAAAAAAAGATAGTTCTAGTTGCATTTGTATATGTTCATTACATAAAATGAATACTATTGAATAGTATTGAAGCACCTATCACAAAAAAAAAAACTCGAAACGCAGGCGAATGAACGAGTCCCCATGCACGCAGCAGCATTATCCAAACTAATGGGTCACGTAGATTTATATATATATATTTTGAATGAATTACGTAGATTTATATTATAATTATTCAAACTCAATTAAATATAATGCCTAAGCCTAAGCTAACCAGAAAAAATAATAGAGAGTGGTACTGGTGGAGGGTCGTGCCCTGCACGATTCAGAATATTACTGTGGAGGTCAGATTGTCAAATCAATGTAAGGTTGTCATTTTTTTCTTCTATATATTTTTTTCTGTCACAAGGAGAGAGATAGATTCTTTAATTATATATATGTATATATCTAATATTCCAAAATCAATGTTTTAAAACGTAAGTACAAATTAGACCATCTTCATTGGAAGGTTTTTAGGCCAACAATAGATCAACATTATCAATGGGATCTTAACTCATTCTTAGTTTAATATTGAGTACTTTTTGATTTAATTTAAATGGTAAATGATGATTTATGCTAAGATCTAGATCTTATTTAAGATCTAAAATTGTGGCTAAGATACGACATGTGTCAATAAACGATTGGTGGAATGCTTTTTTTGTGTTATGTGTTCTTATTTAACATTTTTCTTTTAATTTCTTTCGAAAATCTATTTTATTGTTTCATGTTTTAATATTTTAATTAAAAAAAATTAAAAAATTGGAACTATTTGGAAGCTTTTAATTTATTGTATTTTAGATAGTCTTAGCTTTTTGTAAATGTTTTTCTTCTTATGCCTATGCATGTATCAACCTACCAATACTATCCAAGATAAAAGTTTTATTAAAAAAGTTATAATCTAATTTGGTTTCTTAAGACTCTTGGAACGTCTAATAAACATTTGACAAAAATTGTAAGATAGGTTGTTTTTTACTCATTCTCAAATATACAAAAGAACTATTAAATTTTCTAGAAATCAAGTTTAAAACTATTATGATTTTATGTTATTTATGTTATAAATTGTATCTCATGTATGTTTTAAAATGATAAATTTGCAATAATTATAAAATTTTCTAAAATTACAAATTTAAATTTATTTAATTTTTTTTAGATTATTTTTTCCTAAGATCCCTAACTTAAGATCCTACCAATAAAGACATTTCAAAACTAAAAACAAAAATATAACTCTTAACCATTACTTTTTCAAATTTAATAATAAATTAATCTTAAGATTAAAAATTAAGATCTCCTTAATAATGTTGCTCTTATAGGCAGCTTCTTAGATATATCTTAGACAATTTAATATTTAAATTAAATACAAAATCTGGGTTTATTAGGAAAATAATATCTTTTACAAAATACAAAACAAAGTCTAAAATATGCATATGTGGCAATTTATGAGATTTTAATAGTAAATTAATTCTAAGATCAAAATCTAAGATGTTATTGATAATGTTGCTCTAAGATAAGATTTATCAAAGAAAATATCTTATAAACTATAGAGTAGAGAGATAATTATAAGGGGATTTATTATTGGGTAATTTTTTTGATAAACAGAAGAAGAGGTCAAAAGGGAGAAAAGAGGGAAAATATTTTCCCTCCAAGAAAGGAAGGAGATGATGACGTGGACAACTGCCAAATTAAAAAAGAAAATAAATAAAAAGAGCAGAGCAAATTAAAGGGTTCCTTCCTCTCATTTCGCCCATTTTTATCGCTTCTCCTCAAACTCCGTTGAACTCATCAAAAATCAAATCATTCATCATTTCTCTATTCTCACCCCTGAGATGCCAAAATCAAGTTAACTAAATAAAATTTATTTTTGATAAATAATTTATTAATTATCCTCATCGTCATCCTCTAGATCGAATCAAATCAAGGTTTGTTTCTCGAATTCATTCATGGCATCTTCTTCTGATCAGAATCCGATGCCGTTTACCCGCTCCTTGAATTTGATGATCGTGCATTCTTCTCTTTAGTGCCCCCCCCCCCCCCCCGTATACCTACGTCTATGGCGTGAACCGAGTTATGGCTAACAAAAACGCAGAAGCATCATCATCATCCTCATCATCATCCTCTTCGCAGCCTCAGCCCCAGGCTCAGCCTTAACAAAAAAAGCAACAACAACAGGAACAACAACAGGTAGAGCGGCAAAAGCCTAGCGCTCATGAACAACAAGACCAGCAGCCTCATGTGCGTCTCTCTCTCTGTCAATCTCCCTTTTCCTGATTTTTTTCGAATATCCATCTCCAACCAATGTTTTCTTTCTGATTTCAGGGTGACACCTGTAGCATTCCTCCTGCGCAGTCTGGGAACACAGACTCGCGTTCCCGTGGTGGCAACACGGTAATGTTTAATTTCTCTATTTGGCATTTTTGATTGAATTGACTCTGTATCGGAACATTAGTTAGGTGAATGTGAGATTCACTGTACCTCCTGCCTTCTCCATTGGGCATGGTTGCTTGATAATCATTTAGCCATGTCCTGGGTGGAATTGGATTATTGCTTCCTTTGACTTACGGATTGTGTTTTGCGTTTTCAAAATTATACTATTATGCTTGCTTTAAGTAAAGACACACAATCTCTTCTTATTTTTGTTTTGTTTTCAATTTTTCATACACAAAGTAGTCAGTGATCAGTATCTTCTCTAATTAACATTTACAAAGGATCTTTTCTAGTTTCCTTACAATGTAAAGGCAAAATATTAAATCATGTAAATGCCAACACAAAGAAAAAGTGAATGTGTTTATGTTGTTGATTTTATATTTAGATATCTCTGACTCTCTTTGAATTTGTTTTTGTCGACTTTGTAGGTTTTCAAGAGTGGACCCCTATCTATATCATCAAAAGGTATTGTATGCTTTATTTCTTTGGATGTATACTAGTTCAGTGTAGCCTTTCTTAGGATTATAAGAATTGCTCTTAGGATGACATGTGGTCTTAATTCTGACTGGGGGTAACTGTTACTAACAGATAGTAAGGACATATATCCAGTGAACTGGGTTTTGCAGGCGGGTTGAACCCAATTAGTGATACTAGGCACTTGCACAAAAACCACTAGGCTACATCGTACATGTCCTGGTCAGTAGCTTATCTCATAAT